TAACAAGAATAATTCTGCGCTACTTCTCCTTGCTTCTCATGCCATTATTGCCCATCATTGATTGACCTAAATGGTTGGTTAGGGAGGGGTGAGATTCGGGGGAATCTCAGTAGCAAACACTACCCATAAGCATGCAAGACATAATGCACATGCATGACATGTTATAACATTAACACATGAATGCCATGGAAAGTAAGCTAAAGCATTTCATGCTTCCATAACATATTGCCAAGGAAAAACATAACATAAACTTGCAAACATAACTTTGCAAACATTTTATCATAGCTTAGTCACATCATGGCAACACAGTCACATCATGCAAGCATACATATCAAGCACACAGTATAGGTAAGTTCACTACCTTGTAACATGGCTTTCCCTTGCTTTTCCTTTGATTCCCTTGTCTTTCCAACCATGTGGGCATTCGGTCAACATCACCAACATCCTCTTAGATGGTCCAAGGTCCTAAACATAATCATAATGATTACACAATCTATTAGGACCACTAAATTACATAAAGTTCAAGATTAGCTCTCTTGAACCTCAACCCTTTCTCTTGCTCTTAGGGTTTTCTTTCTAACTTTTCTAACATAAATCTCATCATTTACCATCCTTATGATCCATTTCTTGTCAATTAGGACCACTTTAGATGGCCTTAGATTCAAGAATACCAAATCTGGAAATTTTGCTTCGCGGGTATTGTTCACGCAGAATTTCCAGAATTTTTGCTCAACTTTGAAAATTCATAATTAATTCTAGAAAAATCCAAATTGAGTGCTTCAAAGTCTCACTGAAAGATCCTTAAGTTAAATTTAGAGGAAAAATAGTTTCGGAACCAATTCTATGCCAAACAGCACCGGAATTGTACGGAAATTGAAACTCTTCCAAAAGTTCAACACTGTTTCCAGATTTCAAACCCTAACTTTGAAAAATCACCATAAATCGTACACATATCCAAATGAAGTGTTCTACCTATGGATTAAAGCTCACAGAGGTGTACTTAAGCATACAAAATTTCAGAATCAGATACGCACAGTAACTAATCCGAAATAGGCATAAAATCAGGTGCTATAACCATCACATACCTTGTTTTAAAGTTTGATCTGGCTTGGAACCACTTGGCCTTTCTTTCTCCCTCTTCTTTCTCTCTCTAGAAACCATTTTCAAGAGCTTCCCCATGGATTCCTTATGCTTGGACGAAATGGTAGGGAGGGGAGGGGGTATTTATAGAAAAACAGACTGAATCTGGACCGTTGATCTTAAAAATACGTGGCTCGATCTGGACCGTCCATTTTCTCTTTTGATCTTACGGTGACAAGTGTCCTATGACATCATGCTTACCTCATCATGATGACATCATGCTTACATCATCAAGCCACATGTCTTTAATCCGACCGCACACATGTCTTGCATCCGACCGTACACATGTCTTCCATCTAGCCGTACACGTAATATCTTCTTTTTCTCATCTAACCGTACACTTGTCACTTTCATGTCCTTTCATCATTTATGGCATTAAAATAGAGAGAAAATAAATGCAAAATTCGTGCAAAAATATTTTCTTAATTATTTCTCCACCTATCAAGCCAATCTTGCACCGTATCAGATACTTTCGGGTCTTGACTTACCCTGTACCACCAGGACATGTTCTGACACTATTTTCTCATCTTAATAAGTACATATATGGTGCCACCTTAGAGGAGCAGAGGGAAAAAATAATTAGCTCTACTGACAGGCTACTTAACCTTACTGAGTCATGCAGTAGAGATTTCACTATAACGGGTAGACAAAAGACTGTCTAAAATATTCCCATACTGCGTTCTGATTTTTATGCTGTCCATAAATATCTTCTGGTGACTCAGCATGATGACTCGTAGGTGTCATGATTACGCTTGGTGACTCAGCATGATGACTCGTCGGTGTCATGATTACGCTTGATGACTCAGCATGCTGACTCAGCATCGTCATGATGGCTCTTAGATATTTTCTTTGGTTTTGTCTCCTATTTAGGGGACAAAATTATTTAATATTTGACTGGAGCATTTTATTCAATCCAGAGCTCCAAAATTCATCCAAAAATATCATAAAATTCCTCATATTCTAGAGAAAATCTGTGAATTTTCTCAGGTCATAACTCAACCTGTAGCCCCACTTAAAAATCATTCTTTAAAATGCCCTTTTTTCGGCACAACTGGCTTTTAAGTATTCTTAAAGCCATTTTGCTGGTCTTCTGGGGATGAGACTAATTTTATAATTTTCTGTAGTCTCTTAGATCATACATCCCTATTTTACCATAATTTTCTGAGGTTTCTTATGACTCAAACAATTAAATCTACCTCTACATCTCAAATTGAGCCATAAACTTATAAATTCCTTTTAAGTTACCTCAGGGGTATTTTCATCATCTCTCTTCACAAAAGAGTCTTAGAATATTATTTCCCATTTTCTGGGATTTTCTTAGAATTTTCTAAGTACTTTCCATTTTTACCCCTGATGGCCGTAACTTTCTGAATTTACGGTTTTACCCCTGCTTAGGCTCAACCTCATAAAACAATCTCTTTGAGGCTTCTAACTTAACCTTGGTCTGTATCTAGCCTCTTTTCTCTTTCTGGGCCTTTGAGACTTTACTGGAGCCTCTAACTTTGATTACCCTTTAGCCCCTTAAAACATTCACTTTGCAGTTTAGTCCCTAAAACTGCTTTAACTTTCTTTCTCATCTTTAAGACCTCTACTAAAAAGGGGTCTGGTAGCCTATCTTATTCAGGCCATTTCTAGTACTTCAGGGCCTAAAAATCGAGATGTTACAAATAAACATCATGCAAGCATACATATCAAGCACACAAAATAGGTAAGTTCACTACCTGGTAACATAGCTTCCCTCTTGCTTTCCGTTTGCTTCCCCTAACCTTCCAAATGTTTGAGCCTTCGGTTGATATAAACAAGACATCCCCTTGGATGTTTCAAGGTCCTAAACACATCAACACATTACGCGAAACATCAATTAGGACCAGGTTATCAACCTATTCCACACTTGGCTCTTACTTGATCACACTTTGTTTCTAACTTTTGAGATTTATTTTCAATCATTCTAAAATTAATTCCACATACTATTCCCACATAATTTTGCATGTAGAATCCATTTCAAAGTTCAAAACAATCAAAATCCAACTCCTTCCCCCTTGTTCTGGTTTGGCCGAAACATAGGTGCCTTAGGTCCAAAATTTCCATTTTCAATTATAATGCTTCCAAAAATGTTTTACATATATCCCTACACAAAATCATCATTTAAACTCTTTGGAAGCATCAAAATCATCAAATTCCAGACCCAACATAAAGAACCAGCCATGGCAGAATCATACACAAATGAAAGGGGAAGTTGGATTTATTGAAGAATCAATATCAAACCAATTGATTCTTGTTGTTTTCAAGCCTTTAAACAAGTTTCTAATATCAATATCATCTTCTCCTTACTTAATCAATTTCGTGCAGCACCTCCCCATAGGCTTTAACCATCCAAAAATCCAATCAAACCAACACCTAAGTTCAAAAATACTAAGGGAGGTAGAAACTAGATCAAAATCCATGAATATACCTTGATTTGAAGCTTGGATGACCATGGAATCACTTGAATTTTATCTTCTTCTCCTCCTCCATGTGCTGTTCAGTCTCTCCCCCTTGGCTCTCCATTTGGCCGAAAATATCAAGCTTGTGGGGGAAGGGACATATATAGGGAGTTAAGAGAAATCTTAGCCATTGATCTTGAAATTGCATGGCTTAATCTTGGCCATTGATTTTCAAATCAATCTTAGCCCTTGATCTTGTCTTCCTTAGCAAGAATTGTGACACTTATCTAGGATTGTGTCATGCTTGGTCATCTTGCTTATGTCATCAAGGTTAACTTAACCTAAGGTTAATTAATTTAACCATGGTTAACTTTCTTAATCCAAATATGCCCTTCATCCTTTTGCATAATTCCACACATATCCTCATGCCCCTATGGCAATATGATAGGGAGGAAAATCATACAAAATTCGTGCATAAATTCATCCAAAAATATTCCTCCACCTATCTTACCGGTTTACATCATAATAGGTACTTTCTCGGGTCCTGACTTACTCAATACCTCTGGGATATGGGTTTAGCGCATTTTTCATCTTCAAAATACATTCCCATACTCTTCTAATAACATTAATAGGGAATCATACTTCTTTCTCATTTCCCCAAAATATTAATAATTAATATTCAATCGGAGTCGATTTTTCCGAATTCTTTCCTATCGGCTCGTAACTCTGTTGATCTGTCCCTGGGTTTCATTCTTTCCCTTTCATCACAGGGTATTCCTCTAATTTTTCTCGGGTCCAAAGTCAAACCATAGACAGGAAATTTGACTTTCCCCGGATAGGGTATAAATAGGCTTTAAATTCAATTAAAGCTAACCTTGACAGTTTCTGGGGCTGTAATTAATTTTACAATCTGTGTAAATTCCTCAACTATTGTTCCCCAGTTTTTCTTGATTATTTGAGGCCATCTCCTACCTTAAATAATTCAATTTGAGTTACTATCTCAAATTGCTCAAAAACGTGAAATGACTTTAGGGCATTTCGTCATTTCTAGCCTTATATTGATCTGGGATCCTATTCCCATTTTTTTGGAATTTTTCTGAAACATTTGGGCCATTTTTGATAACTTCGAACATTGATTAACCAGAATATTATTCACAATTAGGTCCCTACTTGGCCTAGGAATTTTTTCGTTGCAATTTAGTCCTTTCTTAGGCCTAACCTTCGGAACCATCTCTTGCAAGCTTTTAGCATAACCTCTGGCCCTTAGTTGTTTCTAGTTCGTCATTCTTTAGTCCCCGAACACTATTGTTTTACACATTTGCCCTTAGAAAATCTCTTTTTTCTTCTGAGGGATCTCCGGGACTTTCGTTGCATTGGACTTAGTAATCATCCTTTTCTTGTGCTATTACTTGTATCTATGAGCCAAAATTTGGGATGTTATACTCCAGGTACCCGGTCAATTGGAAACTCTACCTCTCGCTCCGGAGGTAACCCGCTAATTTCCGTCGAAAAGACTTCCGGAAAATCGCATACCACAGGTATCTCTGTTATGCCTTCTTCCACTTCTGCATGTATAGAGAAGAATACCACGTACCCCTGACAGCCATGTCTTAGGCAATCCCCGGCTTTGGCTCCCGTAATCAAGTTCAGTTTCACTTCGGTATGAGGGGTTAGCTTATGAGGAGGAAAAATCAAAGTCCTATTCTTACAGTCAAGGAGTATATTATGGATAGACAGCCAATTCAGACCAAGTATCACATCGATCTCATGAAAAGGCATACATATTAGGTCAAGTGTAGTGCAACAGTGGCCATACCGGACAATACAATTTAGGCAAACATCAGACATATAAACTTTAGTGCCCATAGGAGTAGCCACACATAGATCATATAATAATGTGTTAATAGCAAGGCCTATGCGCTTCACGCATTCATATAAAACAAAGGAGTGGCTAGCACCTGAGCCAAAGATAGCATGTACAAGGTAATTATTAACTTGAATCGTACCTTGTATCATCTCAGGTGACTTATCAGCTTCTTCCCTTGTGATGGCAAAGACCCTCCCTTGAGCTTGGGGCCTCGAGCCATCCACATTAAAGGGGCACTCCCTTATATAGTATCCTGGCTTGCCACATCGGAAGCACACATTTTGACCCATCAAACATGGTCGATCTCAGTGGTTTTTACCACAGGTGCTACATTCCTTGGTCTGGCGTGTAGTGCTCCTTCCTTCTTGTCTTACTCCTCCTCCTCGCTTAGGCTTCTTGGAGAACATAGGCTTTCGCCTCTTCCTATTTCCTCCGGAAAAGTCCCCTTTGGTCCGCCCCTTGTTGCTGGTCCTTCTGGTCTAAGAGCAGCCCTGACTAGCGCTTGGTGGTTCAGGCTACTTTTAGTAATCCAGCAAACTTCCACTGCCTGGTTGAACTTTTCAAGTTGTCGTGGGGCTACCTTCTCCCTCAGCTCCTGTCTTAGTCCCCTTACCATTTTCTCTGTTTTCTACCGCTCATCATTGCAGAGTTGGAGGTAGTTAGAGTAATGAGAGAGCCTCATGTACCTATCTAGGTACTCATCGAAAGACTCTCGAGGACCTTGTTGAATCATCAGAAATTCCACCTCTTTTTCGTCTCTTACTAACAATGGGAAGTATTTCAAATTAAAGTGTTCCTTGAACACTTCCCAGGTAATAGGGGTTTCATTCTCCTAAAGGATCATCTCGGTGTTCTTCCACCAGCGATCAACTTCGCCCTTCAGTTTATAGATAGCTATCTGAGCTTTTCTCTCAGAAGAACATTCAAGTACATTAAAAGTTTTCTTTAGCCAAGTAATCTAGTCCTCAGCCACTTGGGCATTCAATGTCCTTGTGAAACTCGAAAGAGTCTGTGCACTGAATCGTTTGATCCACTATCTTAGTGAATCAGGATCCCCTGTAGGTCGTACCTGCTCAGCTGCCAGCTCTTGGGGTTGAGCTGGCTGTGGTGCCTCGGCCACGCTTGGCCCGGCCTGTTGCAGCTGTGCTATCACTGCTGTCACTGCGGCTGCTATGGCAGCATTGCGTTCCTAATCTTGGCGTGCTTGGGCTGCCTGAATTTCTTACATAACCTTTTGCTGTTCCTCTAGTCGGTCCATAACCAATTGAATCGGGTCAATAGGAGGTTCTCTTGTTGCCTCCCTTAGTTGTGTTTCTCTTCGGGTTCTCACCATTTTACTTAACTTTTTACTACAAGAGGAATAGAGGGATAAGATTATTACTTAGTTATCAAAATATTTTATGCTAAGCTATGCTTCATGTTTGTACATAGATAGGTTTCAGGTATAAGCATCCAAAACATAGATCATCCAAGTCACATATACAGTTATCCACTCAAGACATGGGAGAGAAAGGAAAATAAGAAGTAACAAAAAGCTCGAGTTCATCCAGGATCTGATCAAAGCTTCCATAGGCATCTTGCTTGGAATGGTCACTAATCAATTGGATCTAATCCTGCCAAACAAGGGTCCTTGGCAAAGTGTCGACTAAGGCCTGTCCCCACATCTCCTTATCTATCTCTCCCTTGTCCTGGTCGGCGATATCACTATGTCACAGTCGTATGTAATAAAAATAGTCCATATAAATGTACCCACATTGGTTCTGGGAGATATCAATTCGCCTCCCCAGCTTACAGAGCTCCTCAAAAATAGCCTGATGGGTGTGCAGCTCGTTAGTGACCAACCGCCGCCTCTTCTTTGGAGGCAGGTCCTTCTCTAAGATCTGATCATGGCGCACTACTCTGATAGGCTGTGGCTTCGTCCCACTAGGGCCAGCTTTGTCCAGGTTAAGTTTAGGCCCCACAGCACTTCTAGCTTCATCATCCTCTAACCTTTTACTACCGTTGGAGTCTATCTCAGGAATTATATCCTCTACCTCCCAGAGAGGTTGATAATATCCGGGTGGTGGAGTCAGGTCATCAGGGTCAGAAACATATGGGTGGTACCAGTCCGGGTATGGTTCCCCTGGCCCTCTCTGATCAACTGTACCCCCAGGAGAATCGTGCTCACAACAAGCCATATCCTGCATCAAGGTTAGTCCAATGCACACCTTTCACGACATAACACATCACACACAATCAAATATGCATTATCCTAATGCATTACCATATCGAACGGTATATATAAAAGTGTTGGAAATTATGCCCTAGGGACCAATCATTGTGTTATGAACATTGTTGATTTATGAATTTCTTAATTATGTTATCATATTATTTGCATGTTTATTGTGATGACTATCCTTGGATAACTCATGATTTTATCCTAAATGTCCCTGGTCGGTCATCTATGTGGGAGCAAAGATGAAATAAGACCTGTATGACTTTGAAGATGTATGAGATATAAATCAAAGTCATAGGCACATGTAAGAGTAGAAGGTATTGGACCGACCCATTATGAGAGAGCTGCATGGGTTAAGTCATAAGCTTCTCTCATATACAAACCATGTCACTATACCCTTTGACCTGAGATCATCATGGATTCCTACATGAGAAACGCTCAGCTTTGACCTAGTCAAAAGTCACTTTTGACCGAGTGATCATAAAGACTATGTTCAGGCTTAGTGGTTTTTCATGGAGGAATGTGAATGGTCAAGATGGAATTTGTCCCTCACATTCGTAGAGAGATATTACTGGGCCCCTCGATGAGTGAGTCTGAGAAATGTGTGGCCATACTATAATGGAAAGGTAGTTCCATTTCTATACTCAGACTACTCAGGGATCGAGAAAGTAACGGTCAGAAATAGGAGGATGACGTTCTCCATGCCTCATCCATGACCAAAATGTCGTGTGACAAAAGGGACGTGATATGGTTGTATGAAAGGTTACATCGTTCATCGATCCTCATATGATTTGGATAGTCGTGATGTCTTGCTAGAGACCGCTTACGACTTGTGAGTCATTATAGTAAATGGCCCACTGCCAACTTCATATGGGCCTTCAGGGTCGCACACAAAATCACCCAACACAAGCTATGATGTCCAGATTCATTGAATCTAAGATATGTCCAGATTCAATGAATAATCTAGGGTGGACGTGTATATATATATAAATTCGCGTATATATATATTATATGATATAAGAGATATCTATAAGATTTCATTTATAAGGATAAATTAAATCTATATCATTTTAAATTGATAAGGCATAATATCTGAAATTTGATTTATTAGAATAAATCAAATATAATTCCGTCATATCTTTATTTTGAATTAAATGAATAGGTGAATTAAATCTGTAAGACGGATTTAATATACAAACCGTATTTATTTAATTGATTTCTTATCAGATTACGCAATATATGATATTGTATTAATTTCGGAATTAATTCAGGATTAATTCCGAAATTCAATGTCCTTCATAATACCGATGGCATCCTATATATTTGATATTAGGAGCTAGGGTTTTGTGTGGATGAGAGTGTAAAAGGTTTGCAGATAAGAAATGACCAAAAGAGAGATGGTGAGGATGGATTCTCAAAAACCCTAGAAGGACAAGAGGCGCTAGCACGTCGTTCGTGATTGAAAGCTGTTCGTGTGGATACCGGTAGAGGAAGTCGATCTGAGTTGTCGACTTCTCACGAATAAAAGGAGAGCATAGGCATCCCGAACGTCGAAATCCTTGAGCCACCAATGATTTGAATACCACAGGTAACACCTTTTACCACTTGACTTAAACACAATCGGTAGATCCGGGCAAGGAATTGAAAATTTTAAAGTTATTTTCCGCTGCGTGTCTTTCAATTCCTTACAAAAAGATAGTCCAGAACCTTTGCTCTGATACCAAAAATGTCACACCTTCATTTTACACCCCATTATATGTCCTTTAGAACTATTTGGAATCATTACACGATGCTCAAAGTAGATAAAAACCAAGATTTAAATTTTTGATTTCGGTTACTATTCATGTAACCCCTAAAAATTGGGTCAACTTTGAAAAATCATAACTAAATGTAGAAAAATTGAAACAGAGTGGTTCTAAGTCTCACGTGAAGCTTATGAAATGTTCTACATAGAAACAATATTCACAGGTATCAATTTCTCATAGACCAATACCAATTTCCACGCAATTATGTACTGTTCATTTGGTAAATTCTGAAATTTCCAGTATTTTTGCACAACTTTGAAAGGGTATAACTCTTTCCACAAAATTCCAAATTTAATGATCTACCACTTGATTTAAAGATAAAAATATGATCTATTAGTATGCCAAATTTGAAATCCAGATTCGAACATTTACTATTTATTTCGTATGCACCAAGTTTGGTCCTTTTTAGTCAAAGGTTATCCCCTAATTACCTTTGTTTTGGCTCTTTCATAACCTTTTACCCATCCTTAATCATTTGGGGCTTAATACAAGCTTGAACATACATTCTACTATGCTTTCACATGTTTAAACATAGACATACATGCTTGGCTCCCCTTAGGAGCTATTATCCAACAAACATTTCCCAAGTCATATTATTACATAACAAGTTTCAAAATTTACACTAGGGTACATTAATTGTTCATTAGGCCTCCGGGACAATTTCTTTGCCTTTGCCCTTGCTTGCACTTCCTCCTAGATAGTGTTAAACATAAGAGTGAGATTTCAAAGAAATCCCAGGAGCACAGAATCACAATTATCATGCATTCCTGCAAACACTACGTGCAATGCTTTTGTGCATTTATCTTGTTTATATGTTAATGCTTTTATGCCATGGAAAGTAAGCTATCATATACATATTCGATGGACATAATGCCGAGGCAACATAATTCAAACATTGCAATCAACATTTGTAATAAAGCTTAGTCACATCATGGCACACATTGCACACATTCACATTAACACATCAATGTAAGCAAGAAAACAATCAAAGTGTGATTTAGTGCTACCTTTTGGTACTTGGTCCTTGATTTCCTTTAAGTTCAACATGTTTTCTTGAGGATTTGGCAAGGTACCTATCAAACCAACACCAATTCCAATCATTCAATAATTATTCAAACACATTCCCTATTACTTAAACACTGAACCCTTTTCCTTGGGATTTTTGGCCTAATTGTTTTCCTTTTGATTCAAGAAACCTCCTTGGTCATTCCCACATAGTTTTTCATGTAGAATTCAAATATCAAATCAAATTTTACAAAATCTAATCCCT